ATTCTCTTTTCGACGTATCTGCCTTGTCGCCCTTTTTATTTGGTCTATTAGAATATCTCTGCTCGTTGTCCTATTATTTAGATAACCATCTATAGCATTTGCTAGCTCTGTGATTGTGGCCATATTATCATCCGAATTATACAAGTCCGGAGAATTACCTCTTTCCGGTGAATTTTTTCGTGATGAGATAGTCCTGATCTGGCATCGCAATTTCTTTACCTGCTCCTCGGAATCTACTAACAGACTCTCTATACTAGAAATATGTTTTTCATTATCACGAATATCCTTATTAGCTTGATATAGTTGCTTTTTTAGGCTGGAGATTTCAGATTTTAGCTCTGCTATCTCCTCTTTCAAAGCATTCTCAAGACGTTCTATCTCACCGTTAAGAGTTTGGATTTCTTGTTCACAATGGACACATTCACGTTCCAGCTCCCTGATCTGCTTTTCATTTTGGCAGTTACTATCAACTTCTGCTTGCAATTCACTACGAAGATGGTAGTTCTCCTTCTCCAGCTCAGCTTTATATTCTTCACATGTTCTTCTCTGCCTTGGATGGGGCCTCCGAAATGCCATTCTTTTTTGTGATTATAAAAGAGAATCAGAATAAGCCAACCACAAATCTTGATAGACCCTATTGAGGCTCAGAGAATTGAAAAAAATATCATATTGCGTGGAATATATTATCGCCCAACTGGCTATTACTCTAATCCCAAATCGTTAAGAGATGCATGTAAAAAAGAGGGGCACCAATTCCGCCTAAGTGAATGTAAAGATTTTTTAGAAAATCAGCAATCACACCAAATCTATATGCCCCCACCAAAACATATCCCTAGAGTCAGTTATGGGAAAATAACACGACCAAATTGTGTCCACCAGTGCGATATAATGTTCCTTACCCACGATTACTACAAAGGTAAGACCTATAAAGCGGTACTTAATATAATAGACTGCGCTTCCCGATATAAGACTTCGGTTCCACTCACATCGAAGAAAAGTTCAGAAGTCACTAAAGCATTTAAAAGAAAATATGGAGATCGAAATAACCCATTAACTTGGCCAAAACTTCTTCAATGTGATAATGGGCGAGAATGGATGGAAAAGACCTCTAGGCTAATGCAAGAGCATAATGTCACTATTCGAGTGATTGGTCCATATTCCCATCGAGGTAATGGAATGGTGGAACGTTTCAATAAAACAGAAGGGGAAATGCTCTATAAAATTCAGTATGCTGTTGAGTCTATATCTTCTGATCCAAGATTAATAAGAACATGGGTTAGGCATTTGCCAAAGGTTGTCGATTACCTAAACAATTACCCC